CCTGGAAACGGGAGTCTGCGGCTTCGCGACGAACCATGATTTGTGGTCATCAATACGTTGAGACTGCGCCGTGACGTATCTCACCGATCATAATTACATCCTGTTATACGAATCCCTTCGTCTTCCTAAGGCCCTTCCACTTCTCTTCCTCCTACTCCTACTCCTACTGCAATTCCTACTCCTCTTCTACCTCCTCACTCATGCCCTCTCACGCTCTTTCTCTCTCTCTCTCTCTCTCTCTCTCTCTCTCTCTCTCTATATATATATATATATATATATATATATCATACACACGCACACACTTTCTCTCTATCCTTATCTCTATCTCTCTCACTCTCTATCTCCCTCTTGGCGATTGTCGTTGCGTCTCTAACCATGCGATTCTAGTGTTAGTGATGATTGCCTTTATAACCTGACACACGGACATTTTCTCTCCAGCCCCTGTGTGAGAAACGGCTTTATCACGTTGCCAGCTAGGAACTGAATGTGCTTCTTAATCAACTGGGCTTTATCACTTTTTCTATTTGCGAAAAGCGTATAATATTTCTCTCTTATAGGCATGTACGTTGTCTCTCAGTTTTATCAAACCAGCTCAACTAGTAACGGATAATCGACGAATAAAAAATTCATTTATAAACCAACAATTTTTAATGAAAAAATAATATCAAATAGTTATTTTATTTTCTATATAAAGCAATATACTTAAGACTATACTGGATATATAGAAATACAAATATACATTTTACGAACAATGTCTATATTAATATATTATGAATATGTCATATATGAACTATATATACATATATACAACGAAAAAATATGTTTACCCGTTGTATATCAAAAACAAAATAATAATACATTAATAAATAAAAATAATAATAATAATAGTTGTTTAATACAACTAATTAAAGAGATAATTCATTTAATTAAAAATAATAAGTATTATCCGTCACATTTACATGCAACAAGTTTGCATCATTTGCAAGTACAATCACTCAGAAAATTTAAACTTTCCTAACGACTCTTTAATAATATCTATCGACATTAAAATATTTGTTATATATATATATATAGGAGGGAGCTTAATATTTTTTTATATTATTTCGAAGAAACAATATACATTGTTGTATATAGGTAATGTTATAGCTAATGTCTTCTACGACTGTATTAGTATTTGAAAACATTACGAAGTCTTGTTATCGGAATCAAATAATTTACAGTTTTAAGTATCGTATTACGTATTTTACTTAAACTCAAATTGTTTTGATTTCCTTGGTTATAGAATAAATGAATATAGAACTTTCCGATATTGTATAGAAAAGAATCTTTTAGAAAATTATATCTTAAAAAAAAGATGGAAAAACTATTCAAATTTCACAATCCGATAAATCTTCCTATATTATTAGTTGAAAAATATTCTTTTAAATATTGAAAATGCAAACAAAAAATATGAAATAGCCTATTTCACCAAACTATCATATTAAATAAGAGATATTTATATTTATATATAAACGAATTACTTCTATTACATGCATAAATAATTATAATTAAATTATTAATCTTAAAGACAAGTATAATCCAACTCTTTTTTATTTTACAAGTTTATTCTACTCCCATTTTAATCTATACAGCATCTCATCAATTGAGTAATACTTTTTTTTATAAGAGTATTTTTATATAAGATAGTTTAAGATTCCGCATGTAGAATTAACAACAACAACAAAAATCAATTATGACAACAGAAACTTTACCCACACGAAAAACGATAAAGAAAATACAAGTAATTCGTTAAGACTTCCGAGTCCCTGTTCTGCTGTAATGTTTTCGCTCGACGACAAGTTAACTGCATGTACTTAAGCTATGTTCTACCCAAAGTTTTGCGAAAGCAATAAAAGTGAACGGCGTAGGGAGGACAATAAGATAATTACGCTGCTACTAAGATTATGAAAAAGTAAAATATAATATAAATTCATAGTATACACGGTATTTTAACGAAAAATTAGTTAAAAAATTATATTTATTATTAAAATGTTTTTTTTTTTACTATTTTAATATTTGTAGATGACTATAATATTATGCAATAATCTTAAATAACATCACTGGTATAATAAGAAAAAATAATTAATTAAATAAAGTATTATATTTATTGAAAATTTTAAATACAATTTGAGCTTTATTTACATAAATGAAAAAAGACTATTACAAACAAAAAATTTTAATATATTTACATTCTAAGTACTTGTGATTATGGAATTTTTTATATTTGTATACAGTTTACGTAATGTTATTTCCCTTATGTATTTTATTCATATGCGATGGGTTTAAATTTCATTAAATTAAATTAGTTCTCCGCTTATAGAAATATTTAAATGTACTTCTAAAACGATTTGCTTTGAATTAATTTCTGGTTAAAAATTACTTTCTGATCAATTTGACAAATGTGAGCATGTAAGGACATCCGAATATATAAATAATCATTAAATTATAATAATAAAATATATTTATAAAACATAGGAACTACAAAGATGGTAAAGTTTATTATAACACAGAATAACCAACTCGGGCAAAAAATAATTTTGTTTGCTCCCAATTCATTTAATAATTTTAAATAATATAAACAATTGATTTTATCATATTGACATTTTGTTTTTATGGATAGAGTTTTATCATTAGCACAGCTTAAAATCACAATATTGCGTATTATTAAAATTAAATTTACAAAGTTGAATTCTTATTTTATGTGGCATCATTTAGAAATAAATCATTAACGATAAAATTGACTATTTATATAGAACGTATAGTTTATACTATATTCCTTACAAATTCATAAGATATATTTTAAGATTATAAGTTTTTTTAGTTATTTTTTGTTATAGTGTTTAAGGAAATATTTAATTAATATTGTATTTCATAATTGTAAATTAAGAGTTTTCAAAATTATGTAGAAACTAATTATTGAAAATTACTATAGAACTGTTGATGTTATGTCTAATTATGCAATTATTTCTTTTAAAATTTATATAAAAATCCATATTTCCTTTTATATATAATCCTATGTACTTTTATTTTGAAAGCCTAATTAATTAAAAATATATAATTCGGTGAATGCACATTGTTATTAAAGTAACTTCAAAATTAAAAGTAAATAATTATTATCTTTTTGTTGGTTTGAGTTTAATAGGGTTTTCGGATATGATGAAAAATAAATTATTTTATATTTGATAATGAATAAATAAGGAAACGAAATTTACTATGTTTACTATATATATATATATATATATATATATATATATATATATATAGTTACGGGCTCCACGAATCGAATTACTCGACGAAAAGAGTTAGATACTTATCGTCATAAATTTAAATAGAGGATCATATAAGTAAAGATATAGAGATCTTGGAGCGTACAAAATATCAATATAAAATATAATTATGTATGGAATTACTGTAAAAAGCTTTAAAAAAAGAAAATTAATTAGAACAGCTAATGTAGTAAGTAAATATAATTTTAATTGAATACTTCAATATTTACTTAAGACGCTAAAGTATCTAGTCTAGTAAACAATATTAATAAATTAACTAAAATCGGCAGATTATCAAAATCAAGTGTTATTTTAAAAAATAATATAAACAATTATTATACGTCGTAGATGAAAATATGGAAATCCGAATTTGATATCATTGTGTAGTAAAGTATTTATTAGTGGTTGTTTGGACTGCACACATGGGGTTCTTTCCTACTTACATAATTTCCGGT